TGTCAAGAAAAGTTCTTTTGGCACGGCACTGTAGATTAACCTTCCTCGTAGCAAATGTAGCAATTGAATCGATAGAGTCTCTCCACTTCGTGTCAGTAGAAAACGTGAGGTCAAGATCTGCTTTCCTTGAAATCTTCTCATATAATCTTATGTCCATACTACTCGAACCATATGCGCCAGATGTAATTTCTAATGATCCTTACTCGTTCTTGTCAATGAGGTTTGTACTGAAAGTCGTTGTACAGGCCATGAATAACTACAAATAATCGTTCGTGTACAATTGAACTTCCAGATAATGTGGGGAAGACAGCAAAGCTACACCTAGCCAAGGTTCTATTTAGCCTTTTAAGGAATATACCTTCATCGTGTTCCGATTTTCTCAGATCCAAATTATAAAACAAACAAAAAAAAATTAAAAATACAAAATATACCAAATTTTAAAAAAATAATGGGTATATTTTTAATCTTACATTTTCATGACTAATAACGTTATTTTTAGTGGATATCCGTGTTTGGAATAGACGTCAATCATTATTATTATTTAGCTTTTTTAACATTTTAAACAGTATGCATTAACGTCTATCGACTTGTGCACTCGAGAAAACTTAATAAAGCTAATGTGCTCCCCGGCAGGATTCGAAACTGCGTCTCCATTTTTAGGAGAAATTACCGTCTGATTTAGAATATATATATATATATATATATATATATATATATATATATATATATATATATATATATATATATATATATATATATATATATATATATATATATATATATATATATATATATATATATATATATATATATATATTTTACAAATGGAATTAAGATACCTTTAATAAATGACTATTTCGTTTATGAATTTTAATTTCAAAATTGCAGACCTTTTCAAACTGTAGACACTACAATTTGATGCAATGGACATTTTGAAAAATCCTGCGAATTTTGAAATTAAAATTCGTAGGTGAAAATAAACTAAAGGAATCTTAATTCCAATTGTAAAGAAAATTTGCTCTGCTTCATTAAAGTAAACATTGATCGCTCATTTGTGAGTCAGTTTTAACATATTTCAAATTCTATATTGTGTTAATAGGACTCGCCTGGATTACACCAACGGATTACTACCTGTATATATATATATATATATATATATATATATATATAAGCCTGACGATTGCGCCTATCATGAAACAGCCTGTCGCTTCAGAGTTCAATGTTCACTTTTATATTTATATTTACATACGCTCAATCTCTGATATTGAGCACTTTATCCCATAAATATAGCACACCTTAAAACTATATTTCTTCATATATATATATATATATGTGTGTGTGTGTGTGTGTGCGTGTGTATGTGTGTGTGTGTGTATGTGATATTATTCCACAGAATTTGTAAAGGGAATATTATTTGCATTTTTTTTTTCGTTGAATCTCGTCGTGGTATCGTGGTGTTTTTAACAAAGACCTCCTAAAAATGTTTCTTTGCAAAAAGCGCATTTCCTCGCGAGAAGAATACAAAACAAATATGACCCTACAAATATCAACACCATTTCGCAAGATTAGCCTTCTCGACTGCCTCAAAATCTGGCAGAATCCTCAAATCGGAAGCCTCCGTTTTCGAATTTGTAATTTCCTTCTTCTTACTGGATTCTCAACAGGTGGGTCAATGTCCGTGCCTTTCAAATTCTTCAGTTCCTTTTGTCGTTCCTTCTTTTTCTTTCTCCATTATGATCCCCACAAATAGTACCTGCTGGCCTAAACAGAAGAATAAGCGACAGCAAGTTTTCTTAATGCACTCTTGCTTGCATTTTCGCAATTTAATTTAATTTCTGCTTTTGCCACGCTCTTTCCTCGATCTTCGTGATTCTTCCCAGTGCTTCCATAAGAACTGTCACTGTCATATCCTATAACTTCTAAGCTGTCTAGTAAGTTGGTCCTGGGTATGACGATAAACTACATCCACCAGCAAAATCGGGAGGTTTTGAGGAACGTAGAACCACCTCTTAATTGCTGTTATTCCCATGTTCACTCTGACCCGGGCGTTAGCACCTATTAGGGCCCCAGCTATGGCTAAACAGTGAACCCTCAAACAAACAAAATGTTAAAAATACATTTTTATAATAAAATTACAAACAATAACTCGTTATATTAGAAACACCAACGATACATTTTATAAATGAATGACAAACGTTACATTCTATCTGTAGTTGAAGGAATGCAATTGTATTTAAAATATTTAGCTAAAGCCATAAAATTGGGTTCAAAATATTTCGGCTGTAAACAACCCATAGAGGATGATATGGCGCTAAACGAAATCAACCCAACAACGAATATGAAAAAAACTCTTTCAAGACATTAATCCATATAATATCCTACAATTTCTTAAAGAAATCAAACTGTATTCCAAAATATAACACATATATCATTGCCTCTAGTAATTACGTTTATACAAACATGTATATACACAAAAGCTGAGTATCATCTACCATGTATTCAATTGTGAAAGCAGAATAACATAAATCATATTTTTATTACTTCTAAGCTCTCAAGAAATTAAGTTATTCAGCAATAAATGGCACATATGGAATTTATATATCGTTAAACAAATCAGTCAAATAACCAACCAAATCCACCCAGTCCGACTGGACTTTATAACGTCAATCGTTATATATACCAAATGCTGTGCGATTTGGTAAAGGCCTGTATAGGGATATGTTCCTGGAAATTATCAGTAACAGATTTTTGTAAAAGAAAATATTACCAGGAACAATTTTTTGCAAAAAGAAAATTACTCAAGCTTCCAAGAAAATTAAATTTCGGTGTTAAATGACTCATAAGAAGTTGATATGCCGTTAAACAAACTTTAGGGAATTAAAAATTCTAATATATATATATATATATATTTTTTTTTTTAATAGTTTTCTGTACTACGGCCCAACGGAACAGCGAAATATACAAATACATGTTTTTTTTTTTCTTTCTTTTTGTTTGAATTTTTCGGACTTGGAGATATTATCTATCTACATTATTTATATGCAGACTATTCTCCTCATCTTTGTTGTTGTTACCGAAACCTTTCAGCTGTTGTGAGCTTTGAATTTCATTAGATGAATGTCATTGAGGATTAGTGATTCCTTCAGGTAACTGAAACTTATGTATTAGTGAGCCAGCCAAAATGAGCTGACTCATTTTAGAGTTTACCAATAGAAGGGTTAACCAAACAGAAAATGTTCAATGCGACGTGTATAAAGGCGGCCATGTTTTCCCGAATATTCACTGCCAGGCTTTGATCTCGAAAACTGAGTTGTTTCATTCAACAGATTACATACTGCGCTGTATTCTATATTCATAGACTATGGTGAACATGGTCAACAATATATATATATATTGTATTCTCATAATATTATTATTATTTTTTTTTCTTTGATACTGGCGTTTACACATTTCTTTCCGGGTCCCGCCCAGGGACCTAAGGTTAGAAATGGCATCATGACACTTTCCACTGACAAAAAAAAAAAAAAAATTACATAGATAAAGCCCCGCAGTTCATCTTGAAGTTCTCGACAAAATCTAAAGACGGATATACAATGCCACAGGTCCACTTTCTCACGGACGCAATGTGGCTTTCCTCTCTCTTTTATTTAAATATTTTCAGGGCATCTGCTCTGACGTGCTATTTTCACTGGGACCCGACTGCACGAATTTAAGCGTGCTACTAGGTTGGCATATCGGTCCAAACCTTTTACTATCAAAACAGTTAAATGTAACGGCCTCTTCTACTCCAACAGCTTCTTCTCTCGGACTTCCCGACAGTAGAACTCCTTTCCTCTTCCTTACTTCCCTGATAAATATAATCTTCAAAAATTGAAACGTAATGCCAATCGACATCATCTGTTGCTTTAATTCCTGATCTTCTTATTATCCTCTTCCGTTATTCTTTTTATCCTTTCCTCACCCAGTCTTTTCCATTACTTACTGTCTCTCTAGTTCCTTGCGTACTACTGGCACTCCCGCCTTGCTTGGGGTGAAATGCTTAAAAAAATATACGGAGGTAGATTGTTTTTGTTCCGTTGAACATGTCGAGGGATATCTACTCTTGTTCTTATTTAGTACTGTACTACCCCGTCCAAGGACTGAACTCTTAGTGCTGTCATCAAATTCAGTAACAAATTATTTACCCTAACAGGCTATTATATTTTGTTAGTAATACCTGATGACATCTTTTACCTTGGATTCTGCGATAAATTCGAATGTCAAAGTTTAAATTTTATTTATTCATTCTTTATTACAGATTTCAATCTTTGTATATATTCAAAAGGCAAATGATTGCAGAGTTCTCGATGGATCACATTTCCTACCCAGTCATGTATGCTTTCTTCATCAAATTACTACATTTTCTTATGTGTTTCATTTCCACAAACAGATTTAAATATATCTGCTGCTGATTTTGTTTCCTTACAGTAGATGAAGCTATTGATTCAATCTAGTTGTTCCACCTCGATTTTAATGTTACAATAAAGATGTCATCATCATCATCTTGCGGCCTCAGCCGAGATTGAACTCACCAATACTTTGATTGGTGTAGTTCATAATCTTGTCAAATAGCTGAATTCTTGATGCTTCGCTAGGGCTATCAAGGGTGCTTCTTTTATCGTGACACCATCACTAAATGGATTGCCAACCAAGGCTCAGAGAGACTCCATTCACCTTCGTCTAAGAGCAGGTTTTTGAATCTGAGGTTTCCTTCTCCTAGACCAGTTGCCATCCAAGGCTATAGAACCCAGTCTGTCCTGCTATTTACCCATAGCTGGGGGGAGAAGAAAGATGATTCACACCTTTCCCAAGGGTAGAGCATGTAAGTGAATGTAATGGATTCGACTGGAATTCGAACTCGGCTCCTCCGATTCCTCAATCCAACCCGCTATCCATTACTCCACTGTGCTTCCTGACATAAAGATGTCACATCACATGTCTCCCAACCAATATACATGACCTATGGCCATATCACGTTAAAACAACTGTTCTCGTACCATCACCGAAGTTAAACGTCGTCAAACCTCGTCAGTACCCAGATGGGTGACCTCTTGGGAATACCAGGAGCTGCAAGCTGGAATATAGATATAGTTCCAGTTGGATTCGTTATATTCACTTACGTGCAAATATCTTTGAAAAAGGTATGAATCTAGCTCTTTCCCCCAGCTATGGGTTAATTAGTAGGAATTGTATCATTTAAATCATTTTTATCTCCAAAAAATGTTACAATCTAAAAATATTTTCTGGCTTTAAATAACCTACAAAAGGTTGATAAGCTGTAAATCCCAGCCCCCCCCCAAAAAAAAACCCAAAAAATCCCCCAAAAACAAATGAAACCCAACCAACATACAACGCATTTGCAATGCTAAATGTTCGCTGGGCCGTAGGGATAGATAACAGGAATATAAATATGGAACGCCGGGGATAACAGTCAAGCGACAGATAGAGAAATGGGAACACCGAGATAGATAGATAGATAGATAGATAGATAGATAGATAGATAGATAGAAATAGTTATGAATAGATAGATAGATAGATAGATAGATAGATAGATAGATAGATTATGAACAGATCTGGATAGATAGATAGATAGATAGATAGATAGATAGATAGATAGATAGATAGATTTGAACAGTTTATGTAGATCATATATGTGTATGTATGAATTGCTACACAAGCAGAGAAATGATTTCATAGCTTTCCGAGTGTTTGTCCCAATTGAATGGTTCGTGTCTCCCCAACATTAAGTTAATTCCAAGAGACCAGATTCGAAAAAGGACTTCATCGTCCTTTGTGTGGGTGGACAGAGAATTAACAAAAAAAAATGTCAGTAAGCTAAGAGGGGACACCGGTAATGGAAACGCATTGTTGGACCGACTGAATTCGCTAAACCAGAGAAGCGGACTTGAATAAAATAACCATTTAAGTAGCAGAAGAAGAAGAAGAAGAAGAAGAAGAAGAAGAAGAAGAAGAAGAAGAAAGGGAAGAAGGAGAAGAAAAGGAAATAGAAGAAAGGAAAAAGAAGAAAATGAAGAAGAAAGGTAAGAAGGAGAAGAAAAGGAAGAAGAAAAGGAAGAAGAAGAAGAAGAAGAAGAAAGGAAAAAAGAAAGGAAAAAGAAGAAAGGAAAAAGAAGAAAGGAAAGAAATTGAAGAAAGGGAAGAAGTAGCAGAAAGAGAAGAAGAAGAAGAAGAAGAAGAAAGGGGAAAAGGAGAAGAAAAGGAAATAGAAGAAAGGGAAGAAGAAAGGGAAGAAGAAAGGTAAAAAGGAGAAAAATGAAGAAGAAAAGGAAGAAGAAGAAGAAGAAGAAGAAAGGAAAAAGAAGAAAGGGAAGAAATAGCAGAAAGAGAAGAACAAAAACAAGAACAAGAAGACAAGGACGAAGAAGAAAAACAACGAAAAAACAAGGATGAGAAGAGAATAAAAAAGAAAATGGGAGAAAGAGATACCTAAGAAAAAAATACTACTACTAATACTACTACTACTACTAATAATAATAATAATCATAATGAAGAAGAAGAAGAAGAAGAAGAAGAAGAAGAAGAAGAAGAAGAAGAAGAAGAAGAATGAAATTAGCGGTAGTCTTCGATAAATGCGGAATAATGGTCAAGTTTGGAAGCTTTGTAGGACAAACACTGTTTTAATGCACAAGGTGACGCTGCCGTTTGGTCGCCATTTTTCCTCGGCTATTTGCAATGTGTCTTCATTCTCAACAAGAACGGATATGACCAATAGCGAAAGTTTATGACGGTCAAGATGGTTTGAGGTTAAGTATGCGGGTAAATGAATGAGTTTTTGCTGATGCAAACCTTTCAAGAAATAAAGCTTCAATTCGATTATGCCAAGTTCGTAAAAAGGAAAGAAAATAGCAACAAAAATGAGCTTGGTATATCCATGGTATTTACGTAAAGTAATGGCACTTCTTCTTTTTTTATGTGCCGTGTCCCTTCAAGACGTAGGCGATCATGGCCCTCCACATCTTCCTGTCTTTTGTAGCTCTTAATAAATTTTGACTTTTCGTTATTTCTCCCAAACCCTGTTCTACTGTCCATTTGCTCAGGATCATCAAGTGGCTTTCCTCTCTTCTTTGCCTTTATCTGTCCTGTGAGTACCAAGTTTTCCAAACCCTCCTTCCTCATTACGTGCCCCAGAAATTTCAACTGCCTCCTCCTGGTGTTAAGCATAAGTTTCCTTTTTGTATCTATTGTCTCCAAAACCTCATTATTGGTTACATGTTCATGGTTAACGAGCTTATTTGAAAAATGAAAAGTAATGGTAATATTAGCCATTTCCTTCTAAGGAAACACTCAGCATTCACAGATCGTGTAGACAGTTCTAATGTCTCTGTCTATAAGAACACATGGCACAGTGGATAAAGGCGTTGGTGAGATCCAGTGACAGGACCCAAAGGGTGTGAGTTCAATACCTGGTTAAAGCAGTGGTGAACTTGGAGAGGGGAATTAACAGGAGATAACTGACAATTGACATCCATTAAACGTGGAACTAGAGAAGTCTACCCCAGTGAGCGAAATAGTCTTCAGTTCGACATTCCAACCACCTGAAGAAGGCTGGAGCGTACAACGGCCGAAACGGTGGGATAAATATGGCGACAAAGATGTGGACAATAGTCCGAATGATGTAAATAGTGAGTACTAATGTCAGTTAAGATTTATACAATGTTTCTCTTAAAACAATTTTTCTGGTAAATAGCTTTCCCAAGTGTACTATCTTTGCTTTTTCCAGTACTGTTTCCTTCCTAGCTTTTTGTTTGAAGTAGTGAGGAAAATCAATATTTTTGAGTTACATTTGCTGTTCATTTTAGTTGTTTCTCATGTTGAACGTCCTCAAGAAGTGATGAGGCTTCTGTTATTTGGTACAGTCCTTTGCGATTCTGTAGCGCCAATTCACGAGGTTCGACGAAGGATGGTCATCGCTCAGAACTCCACGCTTCATTGACTCGAAGCCAGTTTTATTCATTGGTTTTATAAAACAAGTGTATAATGCTGGTAGTTTAGATATTTCTGAACAAGTTTGGCACCATGCCATCCATACGAAAGTTTCGATCTGACGGGGCTCTTTAAGAACATGACTCGAGTTTTCAGGCTAATGTTTGGTTTTGTAGCCATTTGCGATGTTGGGCGATTCTATGTTTAATTTACTCATCTCTTGTACTTGATTATACCTGTTCTGTACACCAAGCTAGTATTTTGTTGCAACCGTGGTTATTCACGACTCCGTTTATTAAACTTTTCTATTGTTTTCTAGAAATGTTTAATTATATTCATTGTGATATAATACAGGGTGTCCCAAAAAGTTTGACATCAATTTAAAAGCAATTATCTTGAAAACTATTAACACTAGCTCAATGAAATTGAACAGTTTAGGTGTTGAACCTCATAAGTTTATTATGGGTCCGATTTTATAAGTATTCTATATGTGCATGCAAGGGGTTACAGAAAGTGAGAGCAAGAGTAAAAAGGTGTGTTTGAGGAAAGGATAAAGAGAAGGACGGAGATCAGGATCAAGGCATCAGAAGATGTCGATTGTCATTACATTATCAGTGAAGCAAGTAGGAGGAAAGGAGTTCCACTGTCGGGAAGTGCGAGGGAAGAAGTTGTTGGAGTAGAAGAGACGGTTATATTTAACTGTTTCGAGAGTGAAAGTGTAGGACCGATATGCCAACCTAGTAGCACACTTAAACACATGCAGCTGGGGTACCAGTGAAAGTAGCTAGTCTGAGCAGTTGCCATGAAAATATTTGTAGAAAAGACAGAGGGAAGCCACGGCACGTCTGTGAGAAAGTGACTGTAGACGAGATGCCAGATCAGGATCTATCACATTGTATATCCAATTATGTAAGTTGTAACGCCTATAAAGCAGAACTGATATCTTTTAGTAATCTTAGAGAACTCCTGTTTCCATTTACCACGCGTGAGACATTACACTTTACGCCCATCCGAGCTTACAGCACCTGGTATTATCAAGCGGTCATTCCTCTAGATACTGATCAGTTTCGACATTGCTTAATTTCGGTGATCGATACGCCGAGTGCGTGTGTGTGTGTATGTGTGTGCATGCGTGAGGGTTTAGTTGTTTTACAATTAAACGTTGTTAAAATGAAGTCATTTATATCCTAAATAGCTATCACTTAATATAATTGGTGATATATTGCCATAAATCTACAATGGAAATCAAAATTAGACAAAGAAAAGAGACAAGGGAAATATACTAAAAGTCTTAGGTTCTCCTGTCGTACTGCGGCATCTAATCAAGCAGAAATATTTTATAATAAATAGTAGCACTGTTCTTTCAGTATATTCCAGCTGTAATTCTTACGGCTTACTATTTCTTGAGGTACTCGCCCGGGTTCGTTTAAGCCGGCTCCGTTATAAGAATTTGCCGCGTCCTGAACGAAAGCTGACCAAACTCGGTGGTCGGATGCAGTTGAGACATAAAGAGCTAACCAAATCACGGTTCCAATGGCGAATTCCCAACAGAACGGTTCGACGTCTTCTTTAACCGTCTTCAGCCATATTTTGTCCGCTACCCCGTTCTTGCAAACATTAGGGAGCCGTCGCCTCACGGATGAATTCATCCGGTGGTCGATGAATTCAGTTATGTGCCATGCGTGATACACACTTAGGCGATCATGTATCGAAAGATACATGACGGACGAGGCAGATTTTTTTCCCGCAGTAGGTTGCCATTTCTTTCTGCGGTAGTCCAGTGGCCATCCAAGACTATAGAACCAGCTGGTGGAGGACAAGATGAAGATTCATACCTTTCCCAAGGGTATTAACACGTAAGTGAATGTAACGGATTCGACTGGAATTCGAACTCGGTTCTTCGATTCCTCAATGCGAGCAGCTATCCATTACTCCACCATTAAGAGCATGGCCGAACCACCAAAGTACATTCCAAAGGTATTTGCACATAAATAAATACAGGGTGACCCAAAAAAACGGGAACTTTTTAACAATCCAATAAAACCAAGAGTGATGGAAGAAAAATATTTTATTCCTAGTAATTGAGACCTTAAAACATGCCATTTAAGAAACAATGATGGAATTTTCATTTTTTTAAAATTACGTCCTGTAGATGGCGTCCTCCTGTACGAATGCATTCTTGAAATCTGCTTTTGAGATTCCTTATTGACTGCTGCAACATCTCAGCTGGGATACTGTGAATTTCATCTTGAATTCTAAATGGCGAAATGTTTACTTGCTCAAGATCTCTGTCTCGCAGTGTTGCCACTTGCTCATGTCTGGCAATAAGCACTTATAAAAAATCCCGTTTTTGGGGGTCCCCCTATATAACGAACCCTACTGGAATTGAAACTCAATCCTCCGATTAGCAATTTCTAGCCATTATTCCAATCGCCCATCCAAGCTTACACTACCTGATATTCCCGAGTCGTCATCCATGTAGGTACTGACCAGGCTCGACATTGTTTAATATCGTACGGAACCGGTGTTTCAATGTGATAGGGCCTTAAGCCTGACAAATGAATTATCACATGGTTATGAGCATTTTTTGTCTCAATTTACAATGAATTTTACCCCCTCTTATAATTTAGAAAAACGAGAACTGATATTGGGGATCTAGCGTGCTTATTCAATAGGGATATGAAAAAAAAAAGATTATTGCTTGGAGATGTGCGCTTCTATAGCAACGTCGCTGTTTGATTAGGTTAAGAATTTAAAGCACCTGAAAATTTCGGCCGATCCATTCTACAGCTTTCTACTGATGTGTACTCCTAAAGAAAAGAATGTCTCTTTAGACCAGTGTTCCTCAACATGTTCAAGTAACGGCACACCTAGGAGCAAATGAAACTATCACGGCACACTTAACGAAAAAAAAGATAAAATTTAAATAGAATTTTTAAAAATGCACACACAAATATGAACTTAATTTATTTTAATGTTTCTTGTCAATTATTTGTGCATTTTATTTAGTGTAAAACCTGTGCCTGGTGTTTTTTTCCCGATTTCTTGAAAATTTAGTCGAATGTGATACACACTTAGGCGATCATGTATCTTTCGATTTTTTTCCCGCAGTAGGTTGGCATTTCTTTCTGCGGTACTCCAGTGGCCATCCAAGTCTATAGAACCAGCTGGAGGAGGACGATGAAGATTCATACTTTTCCCAAGGGTATTAATACGTAAGTGAATGTAATGGATTCGACTGGAATTCGAACTCGGTTCTTTGATTCCTCAATCCGAGCCGCTATCCATTACTCCACCATGAAGAGCATGGCCAAACCACCAAATTACATTCCAAGGGTATTTGCACATAAATAAATACAGGGTGACCCCACAAAAAACGGGAACTTTTAACAATCCAATAAAATATATATATATATATATAAATGTGCGATGATCAGACCCCCCTTTTTCAGTTGAGCGTGGTATTTCTTGGTTCTCATTTTTGATGTTATTTAGAGTTAAGAAGCCTTATTCACCTAAATAAGAGATAGAAAATTGCAATAAAACTGATAAACTGTCTCTTTAGTCAATGTGGGATATTCATTTTGTATTGAGATCCAAAATGTATCAATGGGCGCGGTCGAAAATTTTATTTCGACCCTCGGTCTCTAGAAATCGTGGCTAATTCTTCTTCTTCACATAAATGAAGTCCAATATGAGAAGGAACATTTCTGAAAGGGTCTCGAATTCAATCATCCTTTCGCTGCACACTTAAGAGAATAGCGCGGCTCACTAGTGTGCCTCAGCCAACGGTTGAGAATCCTTGCTTTAGACAAACAGAAAATTCGATTTGGTATTCAGTACTAATTTCGCCATTATTTTTTTTTTTTTAAATTTTATTTTATTTTTATTTATTGAAGTTTATGAGATTATTGGAAGTCGCGTTGGGAAATTTTTTTTTTTTCATTTTTTTTTTTTTTCGCTACGAGCAAAAAAGAATATATGAAACGGGTGAAATATCGCCTTGAATTTTCTCAATGACATCTGGAAGTAGAAATATCATTGAAATCCCAACATCAGCCAAAGAAACAAAATATGATCTTTTTTTAAAGAAGCAATTAAATAAGATTTAAAGTTTTTTTCTTAAATAAAATTATTCAGTTCGCTTTTTTACTTATTTCAAAAAAGGCTTCACAACTTTTCTTTTTTAATTTATTTACCATACTTTCTTCATTTAGTCTACTTTGTCTTTTACTTATTTATGACCTATCTAATCATTTTCTATATATATATATATATATATATATATATATATATATATATATATATAAATTAGGATATTACACTGAAAACATGAAAATTGCAGTCGAAAAAAGGAAAAGAGAGGGTGTAAATACCACAAACATTATAATCACCTCCATCTTTGTATTTTTCGTAAAAGAGATTGCATTTCGCTTTTAAATCTGAATAAATCCTTCACTCGCCAGTAATTTACAATTGTCTGATGAGATGCGTTGATACGCATCGAAACACGGTTG